TCGATGACATCTGCTACTTGTGGGCTAAATTACTAATTGATTGAAAAAAAGGTAGATTTTAACTGCGTTGATACGATTATCTCTATCAACAAAATTATTCAATAATTTTGCTGTTCATTCAACGAAAATGTTATCTACCAACCTTGAAATATTGAAGTTGATTTATGTAAATTTCCCTACTATCAAGGTTTTCGATTGTCTTTTGCTGAAAATAGTCAAAATAGAAATTAAGCCGTGCCGTTTTCCTGCTTTTCAAGGAGTGGGAGCTGAAGGGATCATCTTATTCCCTCCGATTACAAGGTACCGTCATTCACGAGGCTGAACAATCTTGGTTCCAATCGGCAGATATTTATTTCGGATGCAAATATAAAATAGAAGAACACTCGATACTTGATCAATAAACACCTTGACTAGCCAGAAGAGATGGGCGTGGAAAATTTTCGGTCGACGCGTGAATGAATTTCACCTGGAAGGCTGCAGTTCTTGCGGGTATCTATTTGCGAGAGCATTTCCGAACGTTGGTCTCATAACGGAGACTAGTATTTCTACGTGGTGTTGTGAAAAGTAGCGGGCTGCAGTGCATTTATTTGATGAGCTGAGAAGACGACTGTCGAAAGGCAAATCCAATGAAGCGAGAAGTTGCGTAGTTGTTTGACGTTATTCGTAACGCGATGAATGCATTAGTCCCATACGTTCCTTATAATTCGTTAGCAGAAGTATCAAAATTAGGCGAAGAAGTAGTCTTTCTAGTATTAAATGCAGCCTAAGAAGACTGCATTTCAAATCCATAGTTAAATTGCACGTTACCAAAACAGAAGTTTAATCTTGGGCGATTTCCGCATGGTGTTATATTACACAACCTAGCTTGAAGCCAGGATTTCAAGATTTTATAATGCTACTAAAAATATACAAGGATGCACTAATAGTAAAATAACAATTATGCTGCTCGTGTTCTAGCAAGTTAGTCCGAGAATTATGATGCTCGTGTTCTTGTATGGTAATCCAAAAAGAGTGAAAACCTATGGAAGCTGCCTTTCAACATAGATGAACAAATCTTTGAGAAAATTAGAATGAAGCGTTTCATTCTACCACACGGCTATTCAGGAGAATGTCACTCATCATTTTAAACCAATCGTTCTCAAACCATTCATGTTCAGAAAGATGTGTGGACAAATGCTTTCGATTTACCAGCCCATCACCTGACGCGCTCGTCTTACTCATGCAAACAAGATCCAACAGCTGTTAGGTTAGAATGTTCAAGGTACCAGCTTATTCAGAACTTCACTACACTATTTTTCCAGCTCCAACATAATGCCGTTCTGCTACCTACCATAAGTGTGCAATAATGACCAATAAAGAAGCTGGGATGAAGACATTTATACAAGACCATGCCGATTGGGTAACATCGTGATTAAATCTTGGCTAAGTTCAAATTCCATCGCAAGATTTGTATTAATACGAGGCCAAGAATCTGATTAAATAAGATAGCGTCATTAGTTGTGTGTAGTAACTCGTGTTGTAAATAAGTGTCTTTTCAACCTATAAATCGAGATACCATGAATGATGCACCTACACGATCAGCAAGCCTTTCCGTATCTTTTCATCGCATGTTTAAACCCAATTCATGGTTAGTAGCAGACTACAGTGATACCGGTGGTAATCTTCTCAACGATAATGTTATATGTAGTGGGCATTTCAGAAAATAATTTCAGTGATAGGTTGATGTTGGACATCATGTTTCAGCAGTATACGAATGCAAACTCAAAAATTCAACTATATAATCTTTATAAAAAAAAACTCCCGCAACAGTAAATTACCATGCACGCAACAGTTGGTTCAAGAGATACGTGTTCCTCCAACTTTCTACTCCATTCCTAATATATCCCTAACAAATCATTTTGTTACTAGTGTAGCATCGACGATAAGTTGAAAGACGCGGCGTAGAAATCCTGAAGGATTGCAGGCCACTAAAAATCGCCGAAATAGCAAGAATACTTCAGTGGGAAGTGTTTAGCTGCACACCTTCCACCGGTCACTCGTGACGACTACACGACGCGCTGCAATGTAGACTGTATAGATCTAATACGCCAGTCGAGGCTCAAACGATGATAATTCCTCGGTAGTGTTCAGTCTCACCCGCAATTTATTCAAGGGAGCCTATCACATTCTAGTGATTTGGATTCTAAGTTCTCCCTTCTTCAGCGAGGCTATGTTACAGTCTTTAAATTCCTGAACAAAATCTATGAGCGCTAGCTCGTATCTGATAAAGAACCACCAAACTATATAACCCCAACGAAACGCCCGTTTCTGGCTGTCATTTCAAATACGCATTTTAATCAAAGTTATGAGGTCATGTTCGAGTTATGTGAAGGATATAGTGACGTGTCACGTAGTTGAGGTGAAGTTAAGCGTGAATCGGAAGTCTGCTCTTCAGAAAGATTTAGATATTGAATCTACGATGCAGATAATATCGCGCCAGGCATTTGAACGACGGAAGAAGTTGCTATGAAGTCTGCCTCAACCTATAAATAATTTAGTTTCAACTCTCGAGATTTTCCCTCTGATGCTTGCTTTGCATGTAACAATTGTTTTCCTTCAATTCATTTTTTACACTTATGAAAATGCATTTCAAATGAGAACTTTCAATACCCGGCTTGACATCACAAATGCTACAAGCTTCATCCATATTAACCATTTTAACTTGACAACACAAGTTAAGCAGTTCAGTTTAGTTTAATCCCTTGACAACACAAGTTTAGCACTTGGATGTCCTCACCGGATACCGAAAGTTCATTATTAGGCAGCGAACGTCATCTCTTCATTTTACAAATCTGTACACAGCATAAAAAATGTGTTCAAGAAGTATTCAACGTCACTAAAGATTTCAACTCCACTATACGACTAAAAATTCTGGAATCTAACACATTCAAATTAGCTAAGCCCACTAATGGTATATGTTCGCAATGATGCACAATATCTCGTTTATGTCGTTTTGCTCGTTCATGTCTTTTTGCGTAAGCCAGACGAAGGGCCCAAGTCTTGAATCTGGACGTGAAGAAATGGAGGTGCGTATTTGTGCAGCCGAGGTAGTCCAGATGACATCAGCTCCAGGTTCCAACCAGGCGAACACGAAAAACCCACGTGCTTCAATTCATAACGTTCCAGTTTGCTACGTGTTATCTTCGAAAGGTTATGATTAGATATCTGTAATAATTTCAGCTTCAGCGTGTCCGAAGTCTTGCTTACCTCAAAACGAAACAAATCCGAGACTTTGTACAATATCGTTTCAGGCCATCCATCGCGGCCTAGGACTGCTACGTCCGAAACAAATACTATGGATACTAAGGCAAGTAGGGGATCTAAACGAACAAGGACATTTCCAAGCATCGCCATATGCTTAGATTTGGACTTCGTTAATTTTTTTTACACATTGAGTTGCAATATCTCATTGTGTGTCACCTAACGTTGGCTTGAATGAAAATGATACTATAGGATGCATTTCGAACGCTATTCATCTGATTCTGATAGCATCTTAATAGGTTCTTGATATTAACTATAGCGTCGACTAGTAAATTCCTAACATTGAGCTATGTATTAATCTTGCTGACTGATAAATTAAGCTTCACGTGAAACTCAAGATTAAAACTACTCACCAAAGCGGGACCGTTGATGTTGCGAAACCACGGTACGTAGAAGCTCTGTGTTGCTTTGTTTGACAATGATAAAAGTGAGCAGTCTTGTGTGGACAGGTGAACACTAGTAACTTATCAGATTCCTTTTTTTCACTTCGTGACATTTCATTAGCCTATCAGTTATTGTCACGTAAAAGGTTTATGTTGAATACTTCTTGAACTTGAGTTGTTTCTATGTAAGATCATTACGTTGAGATAATATTAAACAAATTTCGAATTAACAATAACACCCACAGTTTTGTAAAAGAAGAAACGAATATCGCGAGCTGCCACAATAAATCTGGTGGTGCTGAGCTGTATAAATCCAGCTTGATGTCAACGATATCCTAAATACATAAAAGATATAGCTCTTTGGAGCAAATTTCGAATGTATACGTCTAGTTTTATAAAAAGAAAAACCATTCTTCAATTATTTTGTGCTACTATAGCTGCATACTTGCACAATTAATCATAAATTAGCTAAAAAACAATCGAAGATCGAACCATGGGGAAAGATTCTTCCCTCAGATTTCCATGATAGGCCTATGCCTGGCCCCTTCGATGAATGTTTACACTAGAGACGAAGCCTGGCATTGAACAGTGAATGGATTTAAAAGGCAAACAAATGTCACGGTCTATAGCAAAATTATTTATTACGGTATGCAGTCGTTGATAGCATATAAAATGGCAATGGAAAAATCTGGTCTGTCTAAGGAAAACGTTGGATTTTTAAATTTTTAAAATGAAAAGCAAAGTCAAAAGAGACAGTACTACTTGAATATAATGCCAGTCCAACAGCTAATATTTTCATAAGTAGATGCAGCTCATAGCTCAGAAGTGATTATATCTGCAATTATCGATTTTCAGAGTGAAAAAGCACGGATATATTCAAATGTAGTCGGTTATCACATTCATAAATGAATGAGCAATGACCAACGTACGCTTGAATGCACAGGTGAATATGTTTACGACATGAATTAGCATATTTGAAAACAATCAAGCTTCAGCTAGTTCAAAACTGAACTCATTAAGCAGTTTCACAATGAACTCAGGACATGCTTGTTCAAAGAACCAGTCATTCGCAATGCATCATTTCAGGACGCCGGTGCATGAGATGCTGTTCAACACGGACACTGGTGTTGTACTAGTAGAATTTCCACTTTGAAACATTTCATTTTATTTCAACTTTGAATCGGCAATTATTCAAGGAATTTTGTATCTTGATTCGAAATTAAAAATGATGCTTTGGAAAGAATTACCAGACCACCAAAAAATAACACAAAACCAGACTTTTCCATTGCTCAATTGCGCGTGATAATTCATTCTCACCTTCCTCAAGAAAACTAGCACAAACTGAAGATCTTCGTATATGTTAAGTCAAAGAAAAGCAGCTGGGATCTTGCAGCAACAGCCGCAAGGTGGGAGCCCAAGTGAGCAGGATGCCAACAAGTTGCAGAAGACTGCAGGATCCAGCCAGCGAATTGAGAACCTGAAACAAACCAACAATATCAAAACTTGTTCAGAAAATATCAAGGCATTCATTCAATTATTTCAAGATAACTAAATTTTTTTCAACTTCAATGGCCCTGAATTTGAGATTAATTACAGGGAATACCAGCGCTTTTATAAACTTTAATACAGGTGAAGGACTAGAAAACATGTTAAAAAATTGACAAAATGACTAAATCAGAATTAGCAATGGATAAACTTGGAAGTTTTGTACAGCCATTGACACTCCAATTGAGAAAAAGGCATCATATATTTCTATGTGACACACTAACTCCCATATGTTGAGCAATTATATCTCAACACATTTAAAAAAAACACTGTCTATACACATATTCTTCAGAGAAGAAATTGACAAAATAAATTTTAGCAACATGACTTTAATAAGAACAGTATAACTTTCCATTTTGTACACTGGTGGTGAACAAATTCATAAGTTGTACATCATTTTGGCCCGCAATATTTATTAAAGCAAGGATTTTTACTAGCAGGGCATTACATGCATGGCAATGCTGTTGGCAATGCAAATAAAAGTCAAGTGAATTCCTTAGCCTTATTATTCTACATAAGTCTTAAGAAAAGTGAAGATTATACAACAATCTATTCACACATACCTATTTCAACAGCACCTGCTCTGTACAGCAGGATGCAGGATTGAACAATCCCAGCAATAATAGTTTGCTAAATTAAAGATGTGAATATAAGGCTTGCTTCTGTTTACACTCGACTCAAGATCGAAGCTAGTGCTATCAGCTCCATGTAGTGAAAGCATTGTGGGAGTATGAATTAACATATGATGGGAGCAGTGTTAGAGAACTCTGGTGTAATGGTTAGAAAACGAGATGTGGTGTAGGGTGGATGTGAATGAGAGGCAAGGAGAAGTTTGTTCTGTGTGTGATGGGAAGTGAAGCAAACTGGAGTTACCTGATGGTGGAATGTGAGGCAGAAATGAAAGATAATGCTAGAGAACTTTTAATGAGGGCATGCAAGGATGAGTAAACAGGCAAGAAGTGGACTGCAGCCATTGTTTGTTGCAAGATTAACTCGAGCTTTACCTTAGAGCGCAAAAAGATTTTATGAGAGCAAGTGAAGGCCAAGAGAATGAGGATGGAGCATTCTCATTATTGGCAGGGGAGACAATTGAACACTCATCATAACAAATATCTGTACTTTTGTTAAATTTTCACAAAACATTCAAATTTAAATTCAACTAATTTTTGAGTATTTTGAGGTTAGGATTACAAGGTTCAGCAGATGCCATAAAAAACATCCTAATTGAATTTATTACACCTAAGTAGGTGCGTTGAATCAACTGTACCTTACAATGCATGGTTATCAGCTGCATTGCAGCAAATGGAGAGCACTGTCCCACCAATTCCAACTACCAGAGTGAATATTAGGAAATTTTGGGTTTATCAAATCTTATACATTCTTCATGCAAGGTAAAATCCTCATTACAAATTAACACTAGTCTGGGTGCAATTCTACAATTTTTGCAGGAAAAACAGTTAGTTGCAACTATTGCATCTCTGCCAAAAACTGGCCTTTTACCACAATAATCACAGGTTTGATGCCACTCAATCTGCTGCCTCAACCCAATACCATCTTCACTGGATTTTTACTTGCACATATATACTTGAAATACTAAAATATTAATGTTCAATACTATTATTCAGAATCATCAGGTGTCTTGACTAAATTCAATTTAGATATAACCTTTTTAAATTGATCACAATCACATTGTGATGATGTATTTAATGTAGTGCTGTCCTCTTCAAAAATCAACTTACATCTTGGTTGAAAAAAATGCCCCATGAACAACACTACTAGATCTTCAAACTTGCTCTCTTTCAATTCATAGCATATCACACAGCAACTTCAACAAATTTTTACTAAAAATTTGAATTTTTTTTCTATTTTCTCTTAATTTTTGATTTTGTGCTACTAAAATTTTTAAAACTTTTCAGCCATTTTTTGTTTCATCAGTGCCAGAAAGTATTTAACACATTCACTCTCACTAATGGCTATAGCAATCATGTTGAATTAGCGCAAAATGCACAACCTCAATTTTTAGCGCATTTTCTCATTTATGGAAAAAATGCACTATTGTGCTTGCCATGTCCGTCTGTCTGTCCATCCGTGACCAAGCTTTTGTCAACAAAAAAATGCGCTCTCTGTCACTCACTGCAGTGAGTACGGAGTTATATTTTTTATTTTGTACTTGAAAGAACTAAGTAATACTTTTTGGACAAGTATTCAAGTTTTAAAAAAGTATACTTGCACTATGAAAGTGTTGATGTCTATAGATGTCAACATCTATAGTGTAAATAAACATACATTTTACATGTAGATGTCAACGCTGTGCTTCGAACAATAATAACTGGTCCAAAAAGTTATAAATTACTGAAAAACTTGGCACATAAGGTGCATCTCTTGTTTACTACTACGTAATAATACATAGCAATGACAACTCTTCACGTACCTTGTTTCATCTGCACCGTTAAATTTGGACAGCTATAGTCATTTGTGCTAATTGGACCACGATGAAAAACTAGGGCAAGCATGAATGTGTTGAATCTTTCAAAGGCATGAAATTACTAATGTCAGGGCTATATAAACTACAATTTCAAACTTTGATGTTAATCTAATTTGAAGTTTGTTGAAAGTTAAGTTAATCAATATCAGCAAAATTATAGAGAAACAATTTAGTCACAGGTTTTCCAACCCAATGTGTTGTGTGCCTGATCTTATCAATTGCCTTTCTAAAGCTAAGCCTATGTAGGTGATGTGAATTGAGCTAAATAAATTTCTTTTAAAAATATAAAAATGTATATTTGCCACTTGAAAGGCAAAAACTTGAATAAAAAATTAACATCTAAATTTTAAATTGAATTTAAAAAATTATAATTTTAGCCACATCAAATTTCATTCAGAAAGTAGTCCAGGAGTGGGCCATTCAACGGTTCATGGCTGTATTTCCATTTATCGATTCAAAAAATACATCTAAATTTTTAACCCTTTCAGGGGCAAGTTACTATATATGGTCACTTTAACTTGCCTCACAAATAGACCCACCACAACTTCCTACTTGTTTTAAAGCTACCTTCTCATGCCTCAGTTAATCACTAATTATCTGAGTCTGACCATTGTTTCATCCATAGAATCACCACCAGCCATGCCCAAAAATTAAAATATGAGCATTTAAATTAAGGTTTTGACTTGATGCTCTTTCTGCATTTTTTGAACGGCGGAAATACCAATATATATTTAATCGTCTAAGGTAACTTGATCATATTGAATTCAATACAATTTTCATGTTTATAATTTTTCATTTGCATAAACTAAATTTTAATCTTCAAGAAAATATTGTGTGTATTGGCCACCTTTAATGAATTCTTCAAGTGCAATTTAAACCTCTAATATGCAAAATATTTAAAAATACATAAAAAATAAATATTTTGTATAATACTTCTTACTTTTTTAAACTGGTTCCTGAAATTTTAACTTCCTAGATAATTTAATGCTTGCACACTAAAGGATTAATGACAATTCCATAAAATGAGGTCAAGCAAATGATTGAAATTTATTACTGTACTAAAGTTAATAAGATTTTAGTTTATAGATATACATAGAAATTATGTTTTAATATATGTGCAAAAAATCATAAAATCATATCTAACTAGTTACATGGCACAAAACTCCAGTACTGCACGTTTGTTCCAGGTTACAACTCAAATTAGATCCTCATGAATTTATTGCAGAGCCCTGAAATTGAGATAAAAGGCATAGAATTGTTTTGCTTACATGCCAATCATGTTTCTTTGAAGGCCAAACTTGATAGAAAACTTTTCCATCACTAGCAAATAAAATTTGCAAATTGCAGTCAAGCAAGTTGACAAGTAAAACTTCTCCATAAACAAGTTGGCATTATGATAAGTTAAGAATCCTTTTTTTATTCATTTGCATAAAAGATCTGATTAAATTAACCTGTCAATTACCTGTACAGATTAGCACAAATGCCTACAAGTGGCTACAACTGCTGCTTGATAAATTTGACATATATACCTACCAAAATTTTCCAGCTTGAAAGGGACATTTTTTAATAATTTTAAATTTGGAGGCTTGCTTGTGAACTTCTATATGTAGCCAATCTGGAATTATGGAATTGACGGAATGTTCCAAGAGGCTACGACCGCAGGTAAAAATGATTTCTCAGGTGCAGGCTGGAATTCTAAGAATGGAAGTTCACTTATTAAAAAGCTTTCCAACCAAGCTGAAAAGCTTTCCCATTCCCACAGTGCTCTTCCAGGTAAATGACTAAAGTGACTATAAATGAAAAGGTGAATCAAAAGTGGACTGTGGACAAAATGTTTCAATTTTATACTAGTACATTAAATTTTTAAAATAATTATTTAGATGTCACTTGTTTGATTTATATTTTTTATTTGTCTTTTATTTAATGGATTTTTTACATTTTCCAGGCCTTTTGTTTGTACTTTGTAATGATCAAGTTTCAGTCAAGTATTTAGTTAACTTGTACTGTAGTACATATACCATACTTGAGGGCGGGGCTTATGGGCACAACCAATCACAGCATGAAAGCATCCCCATCAACCAATCACAGCTTGAAAGCAGATAACATTACAATTCCATTAACCGATCACAGCTGGAAAGCTGAAAGGGGCTAAAATCACAATCCTATCAACCAATCACAGCTGGAATTCTGGAAAGCGATAGGATATGGATATGTAAATAATGGACTGAAAGTGTAAAGTTCCTGGCCTTTCCAAGCTTTCAGGTCCTGCTTTCCAATATGCTATCATTGCTATGTGTACTAGATAATTTATTATCCCTCTAGAATTCCACACTGCGTCAGGTGATTGTCAAAAATTGCAGGTAAAAATAGGTCCTTTCTTATTCATCACTAAAGAAATTGGAAAAGGGCCCTATGAATGGATGAAATTGGCCAAATTCACAGATGGTTTCTGCCCAATTTTTCAGTTAGGTTATACAAGATTTTATATTATATATACAGGAGATAATTCATTTAGCATGTACCATGCAACTCTAAAACTGGTGTGAAAGCTCTAGCGGTAGTTTGGAAAGAAGATATTTTACACATCTGCCCGAGTGCCCACCCCACTGACCCCAGGAACATGATTTGTGAGATCAAGATTTTCAAACGATTGAAGCCTTTAAAGGAAATATTTATCAAGCAAATAAAACAGAATATACTTTAAATATAAAATATCTGTATTTGAAATTTAGCCTGCCAGGCTGCCATGAATCCATGATATAGGGAAACTACTTTGTAGAAATTAATTAAAATTTACAAACAAGACAAATTGTATGGACTTATCAACAAAGGAAAAGTACATAGCTAGCTGGAATTTCGAAAATAATGCAAATGAATCGAACACAGGTATTGTAATAAAATTTACTAATGATACTATACAATTTTAATATTGCTCTGCTATACCTAGCTCTAGTTTCCAGCACAGTAGGTAGCAAACCAGAGATTAGCTAGTAAGCTAGGTAGGTAGGTAGGTAGGTAGGTAGCTAGTTAGAATCGGTTCATTTTTAATTTTACTTGTCTACTCAATTTCTTGTGCATAATAATGCCAGTATCAGAGACACTTACTGGTTTACTTATAAGAGTCAAAAATGAACTTGAGGAGGGGTCTTGACAAAAATTTCTAGGACTTGGCAACTAGTATGGCTCTTCAGGTTGTCTGGTAGACACTTCCAAGTTTTATACTTAATTACTCATGATAATTAGGAATAACTAGGATCGAGCATCAAATCAATGTGAAGAATGGATTAATTCAACAGATAAGAAATTATACATAAATTACAACCTAAAATATAAATCAAGGTCAAACTTTCTTTCCTCTTGCCTAGCCTACTGAATTCTCAACTCCTCGTAATTTTGCGCCCTATAAATGATAATATGGATGTCGAAGGCAAGTTTACTATTTTTTATTAGAGAACTAATGATACTTACTTACCTGGACTATTTATTAGAGACTCTTCAAAAGTTCAATTAGTCGCTTGTTGAAACAGTTGAGTTGAAGCCTTTAGCACCATGTAAAATGGCGACGATCCACTCGACCAATTTCAGCCGCAAGGTGATGTGGTAATGCGTGTTAAAATCGTAAGTAGAGTGCTTGAATATCCAATAGAAATCTCAAAACGGGTTAATTAATAGCTGAAAGATTATATTATTTCAGTATCCTACAGAATTTATCAAGCAATTCTACCGTTGCGTCAAAGGAAACCGTGTAACGACCACAGCATTTACGTCGTGGCTAACCGATGTTGCCATATCGAGACGATGAAAATGTTTGCGTAACATTTGAAGGAGGGGATGCGTCTGGGTTGATCCCAACTCAACAACTTTTTGGAGTGCACACTAGATATCGCGACTTCCTAGAATACTTAACCAGCCTATGAGTGTTGAATTACCGGAAAAATCCATAAATGTGAAATTAAATTGTGACTTTGTGAATGGACTAATATCAGAACGAATTCAGTGACTCAATCTGATAGTGACTCAATCGACAATTCTATGGACTAATTCTTATTAGATTTCTACATGACTTATTATTAGGTTAGGTTAGGTTTGTAAATAATTCATGCAAAAATCTGTAATAATTCCTGCGGCAGCGTATCGATAATTAATACTCATATTCCAAAATTCATACAGATCCGTTAAGTATTTAAGGAATTATGAGTGGCCCAGTTGCGCGAGTCCGCAGGCGAGTCCGCTGGCGAGTCCGTAGAATTGTCGATCGAGTATTTAAGTGCCCCAAATTAACAGCGAAACTATTCTTGAGAATACTACTTACCAAACAACTAAAAACTATTGGCTTCATTTTCATGTAATTTCAATGTCAAAACGCTTTTCGATCTAACTAAGTTATGCGAGGAAAACTTGTCCCCAAAGTGTCCAACCGGCGATAAAACCAATTGTATTTTCACGTAGCTGAGGATGACTGTGAATAAAGTGAGCCAGGTAAAACAAGATTGTTTTCCATGTAGAAGAAAAACGCTAGATCTGAAGTCTTCTCTTTTTCGGAGCCGTCCAACCGGTAAGACACTTCAGCGAACTCGGCTGCGAACTGGCCTGCGCACTCGAATGCAAACCTAACTTCATTTGAATTCCGCCAGATATAAATCCATCAATAAGGAGCGGATTTTATTCAAATTTGGAAAATAAGTAGATAATATCAGTAATTTGTGGATATAATTTTTTAAGATTTTTACATCAATTACTTTTTTATTAATACGGAAAACCTAACATCATTTTGAACTCTGCCAGCCATAAATCCATCAATAATGATCGGATTTCATTCAAATGTGAAAACTGAGTAGATGTTATCAATAATTTGTGGACGGATTTATTTCAGATTTTTACATCAATTATTTTTTTCCTAATGCCACAAAATACTGAAACTTGACCTAACTAGGACCTAACCTGCGAGGTGAACGTGAAGTTAGGTTTTCCGTATTAATAAAAAAGTAATTGATGTAAAAATCTGAAATAAATCCGTCCACAAATTATTGATAATGTCTACTTAATTTTGAAATTTGAATGAAATTCGTTCATTATTGATGGATTTATGGCTGGCAGAGTTCGAAATAAAGTGAGGTTTTCCGTATTAATAAAAAAGTAATTGATATCAAAATCTGAAAAAATACATCCACAAATTACTAATATTATCTACTTATTTTCCAAATTTGAATAAAAATCAGTTTATTATTGATGGATTTATGGCTGGCAGAGTTCAAAATGAGGTTAGGTTTTCCGTATTAACGAAAAATTGATGTAAAAATCTGAAAAAAATTCCATCCACAAATTATTAATATTATCTACTTATTTTCCAAATTTGAATGAAATCCGTTCATTATTAATGGATTTATGGCTGGCAGAGTTCAAATTGAAGTTAGGTTTTCCGTATTAACAAAAAAGTAATTGATGTAAAAATCTAAAAAAATTCCATCCACAAATTACTGATATTATCTACTTATTTTCCAAATTTGAATAAAATCCGTTCTTTATTGATGGATTTATGGCTGGCAGAGTTGAACATGAAGTTAGGTTTTGCATTCGAGTGCGCAGGCCAGTTCGCAGGCGAGTTCGTTGAAGTGTCGATTCGGTAGCCGTCCACTGTTCTTTTTTCAGACGTTTTTCAACAGTGAATTCACTAGGGGGGTTGACGAGATGCGTAATTTTTTCTCGTGGTCATACATGAAAAAATCTATGCATCCGCAATCGTCTCAATTTACACGCAAATTAGCCAGAGGAATAGGATTTGAACAAAGAAAGTGGAAAAGAATATTCTATCTCTGCAATCCTTGGCGTGATGATGAAGCTAGTTCGTGGAAATATTTTCTTTGTGCGTATCTTCGTCACCCTCGGCTGAATAAATTGGTTAAATAAATGCCAGGGAAAATCCCTATAAATATATGAAATTAGACTGAGAAATTTTCATTAGATAAAATGCGAAAATCCTGTAACATATAATCAATATTATTGTCACGAAATTTATATTTCTTATCGCTGGTGTTTCCAAACACTTGTTCTTTTCCTCTTGACGAGAGTAATATGAACTAATCAAATGACACATTTCTTCTCTCTAAAGCAATATACATATCTATTATTAAGGCATTTAGCTCCGATGAGATCGTAGTGCTTGTCTAACTAACAATCTTTTGGTAATTTATAGTTAAAACTTCCTCTATGTTCTAGAAAATCTTAATTATTGCATCTTATCAGGTCACCTCTACTTGTCCTTGTTGCGTGACGACAGCAGCAAGCAAGTAAAATCATAAGAGAACATCAGCGGTGCGATTGCATAAATGCTTGCATAAAATTGTTCATTCGACAGGAGAGGAAAACACGACTGACTTGAGTGTAACTGATCATTTCTTCACTGATAAACTGATAATCAGTTTATCTGCGCGTGAGAGACGGGATGTGCTGCAGTTATCCTCATTGTGCTACAGCGTCAGCAGGTAAATGTGCATAAGGTCATAAGGTATAGCACAAAATGTGCACGCAAGTACAAAGATGGTAAATGTGCGTCAAGGACACAATTAGAGCCCGAGATATGCAGCTCCATTTCTTGAACGTACCCTGTTCCCAGAACTTGACCTTCGCAGCACATAGGAAAGTCGTATAGTTATGAGTGTCCACCGTTTTTTTATGTATCCTGCATCCTAATCTCAGAATCTTCGTCGTGGTTCTTCAATATATGAACAAGGAAAACGGAAAAGAATATTCTGTCTCTACAATTCTTGGCGTGATGATGACGAGAGTAATATGACGTTGACGGTATATATACATTATGTAGTGTTGTAGATATATATTATGTATAAAAGCTAGAAATGCATTAAGTGCCGTATTTTATTGCGTACTTCAAACTCTTATAAAACGATATCTTTATATCTTCTTATGATACCGAAGAATTGCTGCGTAAGGTGTTTCTGGCTTATACTAGATAGATTCCCTAATTATATAATAACTATCAATCTATTGTCACGCTAAACAACATATCTTTTACGCTAATACAACTGTCATTTATTCATGTTCAATATAATCACGCTGTTGCCACTGTTATCTATTCAGGATGTGACAATCAATTCATAGTGCCTTTTCTGCTGCGCAGTTTTGCGACCTGCATATGAAGTTAATTCTAAGTTCGGAAAATTCTTCTAAGTAAGTCGAAGCTTAGGAATCGAAGGTATTGAAAGACTATGTCTCTCACATACAGCATCTACGGCGGCTTCCCGCGTAAAATCTGTTGATGCTTTCTGTGGCAATAAACAGCCTCAGCTTAGGCTAAAGGTGTCTAACAACCCGATGCAATGCCAATTCTCGCTTTAGAGATCAGTGAAAAATACTATCAATACGAGAAACACCATAATAGAGAGATTGCGAAATTAAAATATTTTAGTCCCATAATATTATTATTATATCGTTTTCAAACTTGGGCTTTAACGACCCGTCATCCCATTACTTTTAAGTGATGTGGCCTCGGTCACCCCAGAACCATAACGAATGAAAGGCCAATGCTCTCGAGTCATCATAACAAAATTAAACAAAAGGAGTAGTTAAAGCGTTAATTTATTAATCCATCAATTTATTAATAATATTTACATGCCTCAGATATGAAGGCACCATGGGAATTTCCTTTGCTATTATTTTATATTGCGCAGCAGATTCATAACTCTTGCACGTGTCAAGCGAGATGGACCTCGTCACCTCAGGCTCAGATCGCAGCTGCTCTCCTGAGGAGAAGGTTGGTGGTGTCTGGCATCTGCTCCAGCCTATCAAATTTATAAATTAGGGGCGGTTCTCTCACAAATTTATAGATATATTAAAGATTTTCTTTACAAAATAAGAATATTTATGGCATGGCCACCTGTGTTTCAAAAAAAGAAACAATATTAACATAGTAAAAGCTTGGCATTTTTGAAACGTAATGCACTTGTGAGTGTAAGTTTGTTTTGAGAAAGAACTATATGCTTGTGTAGGTCACGACAAGGAGGAATTTCCGCTGTTCAGTCCAAGTCGTCGACAAGCTTGGGAAATCTTATTATTTTTTCCAACAGTTTTATGTATCATGTAACATAATTTCAATGAAAAACTTTTCTGACGACATTATTGATTATTTTTCTGCCAAGTTCTGCGCGCTAACTCATGCCGAATGCTATGCAGCAATAAATGGATCCTGAAAACTCGTTATCTATTGTCATCCGGTGACGAGCCTACTATAGTAAATAAGATTTGCTGGCGGATGTCTAGGAAATGTGTTGTTATGCGAGCAGTTCAGCGAGCAGTCCATTCTGTTCATAAGCTTTATTGTGTGCGAGTGGCTTGCAGAGCGTTGGAAGAACTTCGCAATTAACGGTAACTTTTCAAGAGTGATTTTATTATGGTTGTCAATTAGTGGTCATGTGATGTTGGGCACAACACTATAATATATTATGTTTGTCATGGGGTTATTATATGATGGTTGTCACATCGTGAATTGAATACAATCTATGTTATCAAAATTCGTTGGGCAGCCATTCCGGACCAACACTAGGTACTGTAAATGCCGGGGGTTGTTATTATTCGCGATTATTGGTTCAGGTTCAGCACATAAACATCGAAAATTAGATCGCGCAAACAAACGATTTTTTTTCAATGGATATTAGTCTGCCACGCATTCGCGCACTTATAGATAAAGCAAAAATAAATATTGTCAGCCATTTTACGGTATAAAACGAAAAGAAAGAACAATTGGCAACATTTGATTTGAGTAACCAGATACGCAGTGTAATATTACCATTTTAAATCAGGTATATGAGTACCGGTGAAAGATTGGTGTTTCGGAAAATTGCAATCAAGTTTGGTAAACGTTTATTGGTAACGATACAAAACACATTCATTCAAGGTTTTGTGAAGGAAGTTTTTTCTCTTGAATTTATTGTCATCGAATTCACCAGCCCGATGTTCGAGATCTTCTATTTTCCATTACCTTTGTTTGGTTTAACCAGACATGTTTACAGATGGGCTTGTATGAAGGATGGTATCGTCCACTCGGAGAGTTGGAGAACCATTCAGCCTACTTGTACGACAACCACAACTACGGCATTAGTTATGTTGTGCGCATTGCGACATCTCGACCAACCACCGAGGAAGATGTCAGAAGAGTGTTCACGCTCCTCTTCCGGTGGGTAACTGATTTATATACACACCACAAATCAATCCTCATCAAATTTTGAGATATGGTCAAATTTAAAGATTCTAAAATTTTAAGATTAAGTTCTTCATATGGTCAACAAATGAACTTGTTTCCCATTGATCACGTCCATGATTGATCGTATATCCTAGTTTTTCAAAAAGAATTTTATAATTTCAACCAACTAATAACAAAGCGAGAGGTTTTGCTTCAATCGTACTCTTCATGCCTGCAGGAAGACAATTAACTTACGCATGGTGCCAACCGAGCGCGATGGGCAGCTGTGGCTGAGAGAGATGAAGCACCATCAAGATATCGACTTACAGGTTGTTATAATGCTTTATAAACGGAGTTTATTCATACGTTTACTTTTAGAAACATACTATTACACTATTCAAGCAATTCCAAACAATGTCAAAAAGATACATAATATACAATATTTTCATTAAAGACAATGTGTAATACGAAAATGGATAAAAAAAGGACGAAAATGTCCTGTTCCCATTGTAAATATTCTCATACTCGTATGGTACTAAATCATGAAGAAGGTGACATAAGTTTTTTCAATTATCTTGTTATGCATATAAATTAATGTTGACATATTCGGGGTGTGGTAAGTTACGTTCCGTCTGAACGAATGAGGCTCAGCTCTGAAAAAAATAAGAAAATATATTTTAGAGATTTTCTAGTTAGTCAATATCTAGTTAGCTTTGCGTTCTCATGAACAGCCAATGAATATCAAATGAATCAAATTTTTGCCTATTGTTATACTGTATGTGATACTATAATGTTCTCAGTTTGGTACTCAGGTGAGTATTATTCTACATTTGTTTGGAGAATTGGCCAACTTATCAGATCTTTTGGTGTTGTTTGAAGTAATGATCATCTTAAAATATCTTTTGATGACCGAAAACATGGTGGCAGTTTTCAGCGATGTTGGATTCGCGCCTATGTAGCAAGCTCAAACTAGTGACTAGTCATTAACTAGTGTAAAAATATGTTATTCCGATCCACAGACGTTGCTGGATGTGGACGTGAAAGCTGTGTTCGAAGAAATGGCGAGTTACAAGTACAACATGAATGATGGGCCAGCGTGGGCCGTGCGTTTCCTTCCTCTTTCGCCCAAACATGATGACTACATCAGGCTAACGACCATGGAAAGCGCGGATAAAGAACTCATTACACTGCCTCACGTCTGCCACATTGTGATGAGCTTCCACCACAGCATAGCTGACGGTTACACTTGCGTGCGAATCATCCGACACGTCTTGATGCTTTTGAACGATGTCATCGAGGGGAACCCCATTGATGAGTCCCAGCAGTATGCACAAATGCTCGATATAACGAAGCAAAATGTAATTTTTGAAGAAATATATCGAGCATTCAGTGAAAATCCAGACCTTCTAAAAGCCCGTTCAAAGATGTTAGACACCTTTTTTCCGGATGCTCTTTTAAGCCAAGTCTATGAACATCCGTCCAAAACACTTCCTAAAATTGTAAGTCTACCGCGCATCTTAGACGGTATTACCACCACCAAGTTTGTGAAACGTTGCAAGGAAGAAGGCGTCACGGTTCACTCAAGCTTTTGCTCAGTGTTGGAGGCGAGTGTAGTTAAAGCTCTGCAAGATGCCAATTTGAGGCAGGAAACGCTACTTCAATGACGGTACAAATGCATACGGTACAGCTTTGGGAGTCTTGACGCTCACGACCGATGTTCCCAGAGACATATGTTCTAATTTTTGGAGTCATGTAAAAAAATTTCACCAGGATTTTGTGGATGAGTTGAACCGCATGAATAGCATGGAACTTAATATACTCATGGAATTAACAGGAAAGAATCCCCGATTCTTTATTGACTCGAAGGGAATTGATTCTCCTCCTCCAAAAATTGCGACTTATTCTACCAGTAACATGAGGGACGTTACAGATATCCTTTCTAACTTCGGCGAAAACGTCAATCTTCTTTTTTATGACCAGCTGACCGCGGTGCAAGCGTTACCCATCTTGTGGAGTAGCAACTTCCAGTCGCTCAACGGTCAACTCATGCACTCTCTGCAGTACAACACGCAGCTAATGGAGGAGGCCTTGGCCGTCAAAATTGTGGATTCCGCGTTCGAGATTTTGAAAGAGGTTGTTCAACAATCGTGAAGAGATTCTAGATCACTAATAAAGGGATTCTAGATCACTTGATTTTTATGACTTTTTTATTTATTTATTTTTTTAATTAACAGGATATTCGACAAACTGATAAACCTAAATCGACGTTCCGGCTAATGTTGCCTCCATAATTTTCGCGTGTTCAATTCTTGTATCTTATTTATAATCCTAATTGTAACTGATTTTTTATAAGCCGCACTTAATTTACTCTTGCAAGCAAGATTTATCTCTCCTCTAAATAAAGGTCCTCCTGCAAATTTTGTTAAAAAAAATTCGACACTCTGAGAAGACCACATATCAGAGATTGACACAGTAATTCCTGAATAAGTTGCGTCATAATCTGTCTCTCCAAAAAATAGTATATTATTATAGTTTCCTTTTTTCAATTTATGGATGTCATGTTTTTTACGCATAAAAGTCTTACGATCGGTTGTTCGTGGTGATAAAATGATTTATGTAACGAGAAATTGATCGGCTCCAAATATATTCATTGAGTTCGTTCAGATGTCAACTCCTTTACTTCCGCCCTGAATTGAGGCTTGAAAAAAAGACATTTGAATAATAGCCTGAATGTTACCTAGTCGAACAATGAAAAATTATGTAGGAAAAAGATTAATTTTTTATTTTTTAGTATCAGAAATCAAAATCAAACTAAAAAAATAAGTTCTAGAAGTAATAAAGAATTACTTCGTAAATTTACACTTTCCATTTATCAAAGTTGCGACTGTAATTTTCAGAAAGATAGTAAATAATTTGTCTTTAAAAATTACTTTTTAAAGACACTTCTAAAGAACTCAGTGGCTGCGATGTTACAAATGTGGAATAAATTTCTAATTTTATTATCAAATATATAAAAAAAATAATTTTTAAATTTTATTTTTAAAATTAAAATTATGTATAAAAACTATTTATTCTGTTAATTGAATTTAGGCGACGCAGGCGACATTTTCTCCAACTTGGTAGGAGTGAGTCAAATCGCGATTATAAGACATGTAGCAGACAAAAGTATTATTTCACATTTTTTAAATATTAGAAACAATTTTTTTATTTTAAAAATTATTTATCCTTTCAACTGATTCATGCATTGTCTCCAACTTTGCTCAAGTGTACCAAATTTCAGGATTGGACAGGTAGAAGTGAGTTAAATATCTATTATAAGATTTGTAGCAGACAAACAAGAAGTGAAATTAAAGAGAAGTGTTGCAAAAATTGCCCTATTTCCAATGGTTATTTCAAAATCTTTACCGATCCCTAAAAGTTCAAATAAGACCCCCGGACGAGTAATATGCAGCATTGAATATAAAGCAGCAGTGGTTCTAACTTCTGATTAGGTAAAAATGGTATACCAGTAAAATTGAGCCATGTTGCTTTGATTGTCTCCTAACCTATTTCTCGCATTCTCATAATATCCATTGAATAATAAGGAAATTTGCTAAGCGGAAATCACATAGTGGCTGCGATTAGGAGTCAATAATATTTTCTACCAAGAGTTTAGGAGAATAAGAGGCGAGCATTGCCCAGTTAGGTTGGCGCAAGAGCTGTGTTGTTTCCCAGTTTATAGCCGGCGTGGGGTCACAAGCAGTCGCTCTCCATTAGCCAAGTTACACAGTCCTCTTGTTACGCTTAGTTTAAACGATTATGTCAACGACTCATTTTTTTGTCATTAGGACATAGGATGAATAAAGAATTGACGCTTCCAATAGCTAAACGTCGTTTGGACTACACGAGTCCCTTCTTGTAGTCTATTAATTATTTCGCTTCGAACCTACAATACAAAATTGAGATGCGTGAGTTTTTTAACTTAAAGTGTCGCGTTTGCATGTTAAAGTGTCGCGTTTGCATGTTGCCACAGTGAAAATGATATTATCGTGAAAAAGTCTGTTGACAATGGAAATGGTAATAATACAATTATTCCCGATTTCAATAGGAACACATGTAATTGTAAACCAAAACGATATTATTCCTGCATGTACAATTATGATGCTCAACCGAATACGTAGCTAGTTTATTACAGTTCTTGTACAATTCTCAAGTTCGGTGAATATTTATCTATACTATGGAATTATACTATAAAATATAATTAGTATCACAAATTCTAGTAAACAATGATATTCACTGTTGTTTCGTGGTATGTGATTGATAACGAAAAATGTAGGTATAAACACTTAATTTTAATTTAATAATTTGAAATTTCATGCACTGCTGTGATGACCCATCCTAAATAATTGGGATAGCGAGCATTGCGATCAATTGAAATCTGTGAGAAGTTTTTGATTTAACTGAACGCATATTCTCTTTGTGGATAGTTTGTAACTAATCAATATTCGGCTATTCCTCATCGATGTCTTGCCGCTCATCCTTGAATAGTTGGCAAAGAAAACCAGTATTGAATTCGTTTGTCTAATTGACAGTGGGTGAGACCTCTATAGCAGGGCGCGTTTCGTTGACAGCCAAGAGAGGAAAGCGGACTTCCGAGAAAAAATGGTAGCAAACTTAAACTCCAGAACCGATTGTAAATCATTTTTATTTATCGCTTATCCTTTGATCTCGTTGATCATTCACTTCACTATTCGTAGAATAAAACTCATGGTTGAAGAGTAGTAGGCGGTGGCGCAGCAACCGGAGTCTCTGTCCTATCCCGCTGACGTTTTGTCGACGCGGTCTCAGCCATTTTGATCGCACTTGATTATGAGCCCCATACACTTCGACTGCGACTCGAGATTCTTTCTTTGCTCGCCTCCAAAACTACTAAATCCGCCAGAGTATGAGGCCTAATAAGCTGAGCCTAGCCAAATAAATTAGGGCTAAACAGGGCCTGCTTGCCGCACGGCTCTCACCGGCTGCCGCATGATTAGGCTCGTCATTTAATCTCTACATTTACGCCTAAGATTAATAGTGTGGTGCATCTGGTCATGGCTTACTCCAAAGTTATTAACGAGCCCCGATTCTCAGAGAATATTTATTAAAACGGATCGAGATATGCCGTATTTGTGTAACTGCGAAATAATAGTTTCAAGTGCGACCTGAACTTAGTAAAGGTAAGGTGGATAACATTTGAGCGTAATTTAAGAAGGAAGAGGTGAAAATAAGTGACAGCATCCCACACTCTAACAGTCTAACTCAAGGGTACAATTAAGGCGAGGGCGAAGAGAATGTTTTTGAAGTTAAAGACTGTATTCTTAGGGCAAGTTTGTAATGACTATTAAATATTATTACTGTTCATTTAAATAGTACAGGACAAGTCAGAGTATACACATATTTTAAAATGATTAGTCTTTTTAAAAATGAAGCACATCATGGATGAAATTTATACAAAAAATATTCTTTAGAGTTCAGAGTCGTTAGAGTTTAGAGTCGTCCGTAAAATTTACAAAAAAAATATTCTTTCGGGTTTAGAGTCGTCCCTCCATCTGACACTGGTCCGTCGCAGCCGACAAAATGGTGTTGACATCGACAAATTGCGAGTCTACACTGTCCCATCATTTGTGATTGAAGTATTATCGATCTTCTTTTGCCTGTTTTACGAGACTCGCCTGCATTCTAACAATAGAAACCCACAATTTGGCCAATGCCTGTGCAATTGTTCCTCATGCGTCGGGTAAAACTGTTGGATTTTGCAACTTCAGTACGCATTAATTTCGTCATTTTGCTACCCAATGAACTCGTAACTATGAACTTAAATGAACACATTCTAATTATCATTGCACAAAGAAACGTATGGTTTCCATATCTTTAGCTCCACCTGTTTTCAATAATTGTTACTGCAGAATGTGTACTGGGCATATATACGTTAACTTTCATTTCTTCCGTCAATTCGAAGTGTTTACATATTGAATTTAATATTCTTGTTCCAATGCGCTGTGCTACACATTTTTGTGATAATTTTTCGGCGAGCCCGTTTCAAATTAAAACATGAAGCTTTCTTCGAAACCTTTTTTTGCCATCAGTTGGGCAATGTTAGTTATTCACGCAATATACTGATACTGTTCGTATGGCGTTGTCAGATTTTTGAGTCCGTTTTGTACTCAGTTAGTGCGATAAACTATTAGTTTAAGAAACCTTTAAATTACGAACTCCACCAAATCAAAGCTGGTTTCTACGTCACTATAACAATAATGGTTTATATCCGCACTGCGCACTTCGCTTGCTCTGTTTGAAAATTTTTCTTTTGCTTCGACGCGCTAAGGCTTAAGATTGTCTACTCACTTGTAGGCCTAAATCCGGCATAACATCGAATTAGGAACCGACTCGATTGACACGCAATTGACTCCTAAGCCTCTTATTCATATTTATATTTGGAGGTCGTAATCATAATACTTATTTTTTCGCTTCATTTCCATTAGAAACAGTAACACGTCCGCTCCGAAATTTTTGATATCATTATATGGGGTCAAGTTTAATAGCAATCTAAGATGCAGAGTAGATAACAACTCCAAATTATGTGAACTTAAAACAGTTCATGACCTAATAAACTATTCATCATTATAAATTTTTGTGAGTACAGAGGAAGCGTTACTACAATTCTAAGTCATAATCCTGTAAAATTGTGCATGACGAGTGCTTGACACAATTCAAACTGGTAAAGAGAATAGTCGTATAAAACTTAGAGCAAAGAAATTCCACTATGTGGCCACTAACGCATCCTCCAATCAAACAAATAAGTTAAGAGAGAGAGAGAGAGAGAGAGAGAGAGTGAGAAAAAAATATCAGACAAGTAATGAATTGTCCTAAAATTACATTTACTCGTGTTTTGGTCACAATGGAAACATTCTCTGCAAAGACTACTTCTGTATCAATAATTTGTTGGTACAAGTCTACAATAATTTCGTTACACAATATTTCTTCACTTTCAGCGTTCTTATCGGAAATGCGATCTTGAGACAACTAGGATAACCACGCTTGGAAGAAAGCCTTCTTTTGGTTCAGTTATGAGTAAATTTGCATCCAAATTACTAGAAAATTCAAACAACATTAATCACACTTCATTACCTTCAAATTAAATGGCATATAAAATAAGTTTTACCATCGAACAAATTTGTCAATCATTTCAGTACTATTCGTACGGGTAAAGAAATTATCTATATTGAAGCTGCCACTGATGTGCAGCAGATCCAGCAGCAGATGTTCAAGTGCCGCCCACTTGGGCCAACTGCAGGGCTCCCAGCGCTGGGTTTTTCCACCCAGATCTGGGTTTTTTGGCCGTCACCTGGGTGTCTGGGTGGATTTTTCTTTTAAGTGGCAAAATATGGGTTTTTTCGTTAAGGAAGTTAATTTTAGCCAATAATATAATTGAAATATTCTCAATGCCTTAAATTTGTTTATGCAGTCAATACATAATGAATGGAGCAACGATCTAACCGTCAGACTGTATATTTTCCCTAGCTGAGAGATGGTACTGGTATTGTATGCGTTCATTACCAGTATTGAACGCGTTCATTACCAGTCAAAGCAACGGTTCCTAACTTCTCGGCGCACACTGCACAGTACCGCGCTCGCTATTGAC